CAGCGATGTCTCTTTCACACGCCTGCTTGTCATCCAATCTTTCGATTTGGAGGATTGACTCTGAGCTTATGTAGGCAGTATCATCCCTCTTACTAGGTAGTGAGTGGTACTGCGTTACGGGAAAATCGTAGGGCGCAGAAGGGTAGAAATATACACCCTCGTTACACCAGGACATAGATCCCCCATGGGTATTTCTAACCGCAACCTATACTGTAAGGATCATTTTCGGCCGCCCGCATCATCCTTCCATCCAACCTCATCCCCGAGCACCAACTCACTATGTAATCAATTCCAATCCCCCATACGTCTCCTCCACCGCCCCCCTCTCCCTCTCCAAAAACCCCTCCAACGTGCCCATCTCCACGCCCCAACTCCTCACCCTCCCCACATCCACCGGCGCCGCCTCTTTCAAATCCAACTGCCCACTCAAAAACACCTCCACCCCCTTCCTCTCCTCCACCTCCTCCTCCCGCAAATACCGCCCCCTCACCCCCCTCCCCACCACCCCCGCCAACACCGCCAACACCTCCCCCACGGCCCTCACCTCCCCCGCCAAATCCACCACCTGCCCATGGAACCGCCCCGGCGCCCGAAACGCCGCCACCGCAAACTGCGCGATGTCGTCCGGGTCGATCAGCGCCAGCGGCGTGTCGGGCCGCAGCGCCAGCGTGAACTCCCCCGTGGCCGACGCCCCCGGGAACAGGCGGTCGACGTTGGGCCGGACGAGGTTGGTCATGAAGAAGGCCGGGCGGAGAATCGTCCAGACGGGGATGCCCGCGCTGCGGGTTGCGGTTTCGATGTGCCGCTTGGAGGCGCGCGCGAGGGCCGGCAGGCTGGTGGGGTCCGTGGTGGGCAGCGGGATGCTCGAGCTGTAGACGACGTGGTGGATGTGGGCGGCGAGCGCGAGGCGGAGGAGGGTTTGGGCTTGGTTGCAGGTTCGAGGGGGATGTCGTGGCAGGGGTGGGGGTACAGGGTTGAGGAAGAGCATTTGGCAGCCGGTGAGGCTGTGGGCAAGGGCGGCTTCGTTGTTCCTACGGGGGGGTGGTGTTAGTTGGGTTCTTGGAGGGTGGAAGTCGGGTTTGGGTGACGTACCAGTCACCAGGGGTGGTTTCAACGCCGATGGACTGGAGGGACTGGGCAGCTGGTGAGCTTGGGTCTCTCACGGTGGTATGCACACCCCAACCGATGGCTCGGAGGCGGTGAGCGAGCCGTCCGCCTTGAGCTCCGGTGGCACCACAAACGAATACCGTGGGATTCGTCATTGTGGAGGAGGGTTTACGCTGAGACTAGGGATCGGATGTGGATTCAAGTAGATACTTGACTTTTAAAGTACAAGATCAGTGAGCTCTGAGGGCAGTAGTAGCTTTTTTATTATGACACCAGAATGTGCAGAACATGGGTAACACAGTTTTGCGTCAACCATCATGGCAGCAAGAAGAGGAAGTCCGCCTGGGGGTCCACAGAATCCATTTCGCCATTGTCATGTTCCTACCTACCCTGTCAGGTAAGAGTGAGGCTGTCAGCGGTTATAACCATACCCTGTCAGTTGACATTGTGGCTTTAAATTTGTCAGCGATCGGAATTCCGCCAATATGGCGGACAACCGCCAACAACACCACCCGCACATTTTGAGGCGTGGATTTCCATTTCCCACCCCCCTTTCTTTTCGCCCCCGCCGCGCAGTGTTCATGCCTTCGAAGCAACGCTGCCTGAAAAACAAAGGAACGAAACGAAATGCTCGTGTCCCGGTCGGCGCTAGAACGGGGGAAGCCCCCGCCGCGGCGCAAGTCATGCGCTGCTTGCATCCGGGCGAAACGGCGCTGCAACCTCGCACAACCGACATGCTCAAGATGCTCTCATCGAATGGTTCAGTGTGTTTATCCTTCGGGCCAAGTCGATAGACCAAGCCATGGCCGCCTCGGCGCCGAACTTGTTCCCTTTGAGGCGAGAAGCGGCACGGTAGCCGAACAGACAGTACAGACTGGAAACTGTCTCCCGAATCTTGACATATTTCCGCGAGTCGACTATGATTTTGACATGGGGGCATTGGACTTTCTGTTGGACACCCCAGCTATTCCCAACCAGCTCAACCGATCCCCCCTAGCCACCACTACCACGATCGACCATTTCCCCAGCCTCCCCCTGAGTCCACTGACACCCAGGCCCCTCTTCCCGGCCATGGCTTCAAAAACACCCGGCTTCTCTGGCTTCCACATCAGCTACCAGCGCCTGCAATACGTGCTCGAGGCGCTCATGAACGCGCCCAAGCAGATGGCTCACGAGAACGCGCTGCCCTGGTGTCACCCGCAGCTATACCGCGACGCAACACCCCGCGCCATGCAGGACGCGCAGGCCTGTAGTGCACTCTACGCCGCGCGGAACCGCGCCAACGCCGCCGCCGTGCGCCGGATCGTCGAGGCCCGCGTCGCGGACCTCATCGCCACCCTACCACCCCTCCCCCCTGCCACAGACACAACAGAACCAACACCACCACCACCACCACCACCGGAGACAGCGACCCAAATCCCCACGGCCGCGCCCAGCCCGCTCGAGACGCTCGCGCGCGCCCACGCCCTCATCCTGTACCAGGTCATGCAACTCTTCGACGGCGACCCGGCCGCGCGCGCCGCCGCCGAAAACACCATGCCGTACCTGGACGTCATGGTCAAGGCGCTGGCACCGATCGCCGCCGAGGACCAGCCCGGGCCGTTTCTGCCGGAGGAGGCCCCAAGACGGTGGTGGTGGGGGTGGGGGTGGGCGGCCGCAGCTGCCGCTGTATCCGCTGGCGGGCACGCGCGCGTTCTGGGAGGAGTGGATTGTGCGGGAGTCGGCGAGGCGGACGGTGTTGTTGATGAAGGTGCTGTGGTTGTTGTATCGGTTGTTGCGGACGGCGGGACCGATCTATTGTGATAAGAATGTGCGTGGGCCGTTGAGGTTTACGGCGTCGGCGCATCTGTGGCAGGCGACGGACGCGGTGGAGTTTGCGCTGGCCTGGGGGCAGAGGAAGCATTATGTCGTGGCGAACGGGGGGCTGGTGGATATCCTGGCTGAGGCAGAGCCGGAGGATATTGATCAGTATGGTCGGATTATGCTGACGGCTTTGTTGGGCGCTGATGAGGTGAAGGGGTGGTTTATCAGTAAGGGTGGCATGTTGTAGGCTGGTCGGGGCTAAGCTTGTGAGTACATGTATAAGCGGATGAAGGGAGCTTTTATTGCACGTCGACTACCTCTGGATGTGGCTTGTCTAGGTACCTAAACACCGGAGAGATGCCTCTGCTACCCCTTACTGCCCTACACGACTTCGAACTGACTCCAAACCTCCCGACACCCCTTTTCATTCACCAAGCCCCCAGAACCCCAACAACCCCTAAGCCGCAGTCACCAAGAACCGATCAAACCACCTCACCGCCTGCAAAAACGCCTCCTCCTTCGCATACTTCTGCTGCGCATCCGCCAGATCCACCCGCACACCAAACCCATGCTGCGTACCCGAATACAAATTCACCTGATACGGCTTGCCCGTGCCCAACAGCGCCTTCTCCGCCGCGGCCCTCGCCTCCGCATTAAAAAGCGTATCCTGATCCGCCGCCGCAACGGCCACCGGCCCCGCCACCGCGGCCGCAATCTCCTCCTCGCTCAACAAACTCGGATGCGCCGCGTACGCCACATCCACCGCACCCTCCCCGTCCGCCAGCTGGCGGAACGAGTACCGCCCGCCGAAGCAGTACCCCGTGGCGGCGAGGCGGGTCGCCTTCAGCTCGGTGCGCAGGTAGGCGGCCGCCGCGGCGATGATGGGGTCCGTGACGGCCGGCTCGTGCTTGGCTAGGAACTCGGTCGTGTTGAACCCCGGCACGTTGATGTCGCCGGGCGCGGGCGAGCCTTGGAAGAGGTCCGGGACCAGGGTCAGGTAGCCGGCGCGCGCGAAACTGTCGGCGAGGCTCGTGAGGTGGGGGGAGGGGGGTGTCAGTGGATGTTTGGGTACAGGGGAGGGGGGAGGGGGTCACGGACAGCTTGTTCTCGGCGAGGGCTAGGCCGAAGACGTCGGTTAGGAAGAGGATGGCGCTGCCGGCTCGGGCCTTGGTGCGCGGGTCCTTTGCGTCGGGCTCGGCGATGTAGAGGGTGACTGGGCGGTGGGTTAGTGAGGCGTCAATGTTGCGCAGGGGTCAGTGGTGGCTGAACGTACTGTTGTTGTGCGTAACCTCCTTGCCCAGGGGCTCGCCCGTGTGGGCAACGATGGATGCGTCGACGCTCTGGCAGGCGCTGGGCTTCCCGAGGCAGCCAGCCACCGCCCCTCCGGCGAGGAGCAGGGCGTTTGAGAGAGTCGAGGTGCGCATATTGCTAAGTTCTTTGCTTTGTTATCGCTCAAGAAGGTTGATGCAGAAGAGAGATGGGGTCGAGGAGATGGGTCGGGGAGATGAGTTGACACGGATAATGCTTTACCGATGCCGGGTCGTCTCGTCCAATTTATGCATCCCTCTCCCGGTTTGGTTATAGCTGCCGGTGCCTGTTACGCCATTGCTCCCTTGTCTATCCGCAGGATCGCCGGTATTGCACCGGCAGAGCTTAACTAATCGCATCCTGGTTCAATGTGACGCTGCATACTTGCCTAATAGGGTGCGATCAGTGATAATTACCCGTTATAGAGAGTCCGATATCCCCTGGCTGCTGTTCCATTGCATGTTGCTTTGTAATCGCCACCAGAGTGGGGGATGTCGTCCGAACTTCTGGGTTGTGCCACTCTGTGAACCTGTATGTCCCAGCTTTGTTGGCAACGAGGGACGGGGCTGCTTATTTTCGCCCGGATTTTGACGGGAGTAGTCGGGGTTAAGTCCAACTCCCTGTGCGTCCCGGGGGCATGGACTACGACCTCGTCACCATGTAGGAGCCGTCCCCGGTGTTAGTGGCCCGGCCGGAGCTAGGTCCGGTCAACAACGGTAGGCCCCCAGCAAAACATCGTTCATCGAGGTCTAAATACCAAGCCTGTTCTATGGGTTAACGCCAATGTCCAAACATTATACCGCCGACCGCCATGGAGGTAGCAGGCAGCCCAGACTGACTCTAGGCCATGGAGTCTCCAAGAACCCACGGCAGACCAACCGCCCAGCCATATACAGACATCACTGCTCAAGCAAGGGACGCCCCCAACACCGCGCGCCAGCCACCACCCACCCATCATGGTCTCATCATAACCCACTACCGCCACCCACCACCTGGTCCATTACACCTCCTCGCCCGCAACCTCCTCATACCCACCCGCTCGCCTCGCCCCACCACCCCTCAAAATCTCCATCACCGCGGGACTCTCATACATCTCCGTATAATTCACCGGCTGCCCACCCAGCACCGCAGCGCCAGTCTCGCGCCTCCCAAACACCGGCGCCGGATCACACCAAAAGTCCTTACAATTCGCCAAGCACCCCTTGCTAAACGGATTGCGGTTGCCCCCCCTACGCCGCCCCCCACCAGCAGCCGCACCCCTGCCCCGTGCGGTCTGCATAAAAGTATCCACGCCCAGCAGCCGCCCCCAATGCTTGAGGATGCCACCATGCCTGTGACCGTGGCCGTGACCGTGGCCGCCTGGGGGACCGTGGGGGCCGACGTCGGCGCCGGAGGGCGGGGCGGCGGAGGCCGGGTCGAGCGGGGCGCCGGTGGAAGTGAAGGCGCTGGCGAGGGAGGCCGGGGCGCGCGTGTTGACCCCGAACATGTTCTCGTAGGTGGTCATGGCGCGCGAGACTTGGATGAACTGCACGAAGAGCAGCATGGAGACCCAGGTGAGTTGGAGGGAGGCCCAAATGGCGAGGAGGAGGCTGTAGGCGTCGGTGTTGATAACGCGGCAGAGGGCAGGGGAGAGCACGTTGCAATCGTCGGAGGCGTTGGGGGTGAGGGAGGAGAAATCTGGGGGCGATGGTTAGTTGGTTGTGGTTGGGGTAAGAAAATAAGGGGCAGGTAGACAAACATCGGTGGGTCAGGACATCGTAGGATAGGACGCCGAGCGTTAGGTTGATCAGGTAGAGGAAGAAGTGGCGGTGGTTGTTGACACCGACGCAGTTATAGACCCACGGGCAGTGACTGTCAAACTGTTAGCGCACACCCATAAACGCTGCCCGAAGTCACTTACTGGTCATGCTTGGCCACGCAGCGTTGGCACCTGCGGCAGTGCTTGCTCCGGAGCGGTGTCCGAATCATGCACGTCACGCAAAAATGGGCTTCATCGTACTTCCACTGGCTGATCAAGTCGTCAATGACGGCTTTTTGTTCGGCGATGCCGTTGAGCTTGGGCACAAAACCAGGGTCGTCCACCATGGCCCTAGTGTAGAAGAAGCCAGTGAGTGAAAGCGCAGCGGCAAACACAAAGTTCCACAGCCATGTTCCCTCTGCCGCATTTCGTCAGTGGCTCAAGCCATGAACACTTTTCTGCAGGAAAACCTACCATCTCCGAACGCCGTGCCGGGAAGGATTACAAAGAACCAGTTTAACCCCGCGAAGAAGAGCGACGCTGCAAAAATACCCGCCATCCAAGGCTAATGGACGGTCAGCTTCGTTCCAAGGACATAAATCGTAGAACTTACCGTCTTCTCAAACTGTCGCATATCCGGCGGAGCATACGCAAGTAGCTGCTGGCCCACCCATTGCACGGTGTACGCAGCCAAGAGACCGAACGGAACACCCGCGTAGACAGGTAAAGACGAGAAGAGAAATATAGTCCCCCAAACGAGCAAAAACGGCCACAGGAAGAAGAACTTGGTCGTGAAACCCCGCCTGTCCTTCAACAAGTAGCTCGCACCAGGCCAGCTGGGGACAATGGCGTTTCCATCCTCGTCATAACCGCACTCATACAGGGCCTTGTGCCAGGCGCCCGCCGTGTTCAGCTCTCTCGCGGTGATGGACGGTGTTTTCCCCGTTGTTGTCTTGGCGAATCGGTCCGCTCCGTACTCGATAATCTTTTGAATGCAGCCAGCGCTGCCTTTGACCAGTGCCCAGTGTAGCGCTGTAAACCCCTGCTCGTCCTTCGCATGGACGCTGGCTCCCCACCTCAAGAAGGCGTCGACGCAGGCTGGGTATCCCTTATAAGCGGCCCACATCAACCCCGTGTGGCCGTAGGAATCTTCGACGTCGACCGGGATGCCCTGGTGGAGCAGCAAGATGATCAGAAGGAGGTTGCCGTTAAAGGTGCTGATGTGTAACGTGTTGTAGCCCTGGGCGTCGGTAATCAGGGGGTCGGCGCCGTGTTGGAGGAGCAGGTGGACGGTGTAGTAGTGGCAGCGCTGGGCAGCCCACTGCAGGGGCGTCGCAACGCTTTCCCCACCCTTCTTGTTCATCGGCGCCCCGCGCTCGATCAGGAATTTGCACATGGCATATTGGTTGTTAATCGCGGCCCACTAGCGAGGGAGCTGTTAGTGGGAGTCCAAAGTGCTGGGATAGACTGGACGTGGGTACGCACATGTAACGGGGTGATCCCCTCGTCATCGGTGTAGGTCGCATCGTAGTCGCTATTCTCGAACAGCTTCTCCATGCCGGCAAGATCCCCCACCCGTGCCATCTGCATAATATCGTTCTGGCTCGAGTTGTCCGGCATGTTCCCAAGCTCCACCTCATTGTTTAGCTTCGGCGTTGCGGTTTCTGATTTGGAGGGCGGCTGAGTCGGCGCGCCGTTCGCGGATGGTGGCCCGGAGTCATCATGTTGATGCGCCATGGTCGATGGGCGCTGGCGACCTGAGGTCTGGAATTAAAAGTCTGAAATCGCTTGCGGCGGTAGTCGTGTGCTTGGTTCGTAGATCGGATGGGCTTACGGCAGAAGCGGAACGAGAGGAAACTAGGACTCTAGAGGGGGGTAGGTATTAGGCGAAAAGAATCACAGCATGTCGAGTTTCAACTGTGCCTGTTGCGGCCAACGATTGTTTCACTGGGGCCAAAAAGGGCCACCGTTGGGAGTGTTGAGAGACCAGAAGAGCGACCTTGCGGCGAGGCGTCTTCTCTGCGGAATGGTAAATATTTCAGCAGCAAAGACCCTGGCAAGAGATTCAGCGCCGTCTTACCCGCGTTGACCAACCCAAAACGAGCGGTGCAGAGCGAGGCTGAGCCACCGATCCTCAGGTGGAGGAGATCTGATTCGTCTGATGGAAACTGCCGCGCCGTTGCAGGGCTGAGACCCACTGGCGCGTCCCAGCTCAAGTCTTGGCGAGCCTGGGAACGGCGACGTAACCAACAAATCCACAGCTAAAATTCCATGATCCGATCCGGTGACGATCGGATCATAATGGCCCGATAATTCGATTACCGGAGCCATCACAACCCGTCCCACGCTAGAGCAGAACCGGAGTACAAGACGGCCGATTTTCTTGCGCCGTCGCCGACTTCAATTCTTCAATCGCACTCTCCCTTTGACACACTACTTCAACCTGTCCACAAGCCAGCGACAATGACGGCGCTCGACACACTCAAAGCCGCCTTCGAGGCATCGCTCACCCCCTCGCCGACCGTCATCACAATCGGCCTAGCCATTGTGCTCTTCCTCCCCGTCCTCCTCCACCTCCTCTTCTCGGCAACAACCCCATACACGACCCTCCCGTCTGTCCTCCTCATCGGCCCATCCGGCGCAGGCAAGACCGCTCTCCTCACCCTCTTCGAACGCGGGCCCCTATACACCCCCGACCAACCCACTTCCACCGACAAACCATCCGTCTCCACGCCCGTCGCCAGAACCCACACCTCACAAGTCCCCTCCACCGTTGAGCTCGCCGTCTCCACCGACAACAAAAACACCACCAACTCCACCACCTACCGCACCGACCTCGACGCCGCAGGCGCCACGGCCAAAAAATTCCTCCTCGTCGACACCCCGGGCCACCCCAAACTGCGCGGGCACGCCCTCTCCCAACTTTCCTCCTCTTCCCCCACCATCACCCCCTCCACCATCTCAGCCACCTCCTCCGAAACGCACAAATCCAAGCTCAAAGCGCTCGTCTTCGTCGCCGACGCCGCCGCCCTCGCCGATCCCGACAGCGGCGCGCTAGCCTCGACCGCCGAATACCTCTACGAAGTCCTGTTGGCACTGCAGCGGCGCTTCCACAGCCGGAGCGGCTCGCGCGCGCCCGCGAGCGTGCCCGTGCTGGTGGCGGCGAATAAATTGGATTTATTTACGGCGTTGCCGGCGGCGTTGGTGAAGAGCCATTTGGAGGGGGAGTTGACGCGGATTAGGAAGGCGCGGAGCAAGGGGTTGTTGAGTACGGAGGAGGGGGAGGGGGAGGGTGCGGTGGAGGAGGGTGAGGGGTGGTTGGGGGCGTATGGGACGGAGAGGTTTAGTTTTAAGGAGATGATGGAGTTTGATGTGGAGGTGGAGGTGATTGGGGGGAATGTGCTTGGGGAGGGGCCGGGAGCGGATAAGTGGTGGAACTGGATTGGGGAGAGGGTTTAATTTACTAGAGGATGATGGGTTGTATAGAAGGCGGACTTGCTTGCTTGCTTGAGGGTGCGCAGGTGTGTGATCAGAAGCTGTAATGAGATAGATGGCGTATCTACTATTAATGGGTATAACAATCCAGATACCTTCCCCCCCATTTGCACGGGTTGAGCCCTTTCTATGCCGACATGCTACGCTAGGCCCAGCAACGCTTCCCAAGCCAACCAACCGTGGACGTTGAGTCCCGGTTCCCATCTCTAATCGCCTCAAATGCTCACAGCAGAATAAACCCGGAGATCAATCTTCATCCATCTCACCTTGGACGGCCTAAGACTTCTGCCTCACCATCCAAGTCAATAAATCCACCTTAGTCACAACCGCCACGGGCTTGGAGCCCCCGCTCTCATCCTTCTCCGTGACCACCGCGGCACTGTTCCACTCCAGGAACCGGCTCAGCGCAGACAGCGGGCTGTCGCGGGTAATCTCGACAAACTTGCGCTTCTTTCCCTTGAGATCAGACCCAAACCGGCGCGGGTCCGTAACCACCTCGTCGATGCGGCTGAAGTTGAACATGACCTCGCTCACGGGGGTCTGGGGCGTGGCGCGGCCGCGCGAGATGAAGCTGAGCAGGTTGCCCAACGTGACCAGGCCGGCCAGCTTGCCGCCCGTCGGGGTCAGGACGGGCAGCTGGTCGAAGCCCTTGTCGCGCATCGTCTCGATGGCCTCGGAGCACGCGCTGGTGGTGGTGACGGACGACACGGGCTTGAGGCGGAGGGCGCGCACGGTGGCGCCGGCGTAGGCGTCGGCGGCGTCTTGGCTGTGCGTCTTGGGCTGCGGGGGGACGCCCGCGCCGTCAATGTTCTCCGAGTCGTTGGGGAGCAGGCCGTTGGCGGCGAGCCAGTCGTCGTCGGCGAACTTGGAGAGGTAGGATCGGATGCTGTCGGGGAGGACGACGACGATTACGTCGCCCTTGCCGAACCCAAAGTCCTTCACCGCCTTCAGCATGGCCGCCATGGCGCTGCCGGAGGAGCCGCCGACTAGCAAGCCCTCCTCGGCAATCAGCCGCCTGGCGAGCTGGAAAGACTCGCGGTCGTCGGTCTTATACCACTTGTCCACGAGCTCCCGGTCCAGAACATCAGGGATAAAGTCGTACCCGATGCCCTCGACCTTGTACGACACATTTGCCTGCTCTTCATTCAGCGCCTCGGGGAGCGCAAGGATGCTCCCGTGAGGGTCCGCCGCGATAACCTTGACGTTCTTGTCGTGTTTCCTGAGCCCCTTGGCAATACCAGAAATGGTGCCGCCAGTCCCCGCACCGGCAACGACAGCCGTGATTTTGCCGCCGGTTTGCGCCCAGATTTCCTCGGCAGTCCCGAACTCATGCGCGAGTGGGTTGTTCTCGTTCGTATATTGGTCGAGGATGTGCGAGTTGGGGATCTCCTTCAAAAGACGCCTTGCGACACCGATATGGCTTTCGGGTGCGTCCCAGGCGGCCTGGGTAGGGGTGCGGATGATGGTAGCGCCCAGAGCACGGAGGACGGAAACCTTCTCGGCGGACATCTTCTCGGGAAGGGTGATGATGGTCTTGTAACCCTTGATTGCGCCAACGAGCGCAAGGCCGATGCCGCTATTCTTCAAGTCAGAACATGCTACGACCAAAGCTAGACCGATGGATACTTACGTATTACCGCTGGTGGGCTCAATCAGGGTGTCACCAGGCTTGATCCGACCGCTCTTCTCGGCCTCTTCGACCATGCGCAGGGCTATCCTGTCCTTGACGCTCCCACCGGCGTTGAAAAGCTCAACCTTGGCGTACACTTCGGCCTCAATCCCAAGCGACTGCGGGATCTTGTTGAGGCGAACAAGCGGTGTGTTGCCAATCAGCTCGGTGGCTGACATCTTGACGCTGAGCTTGGGCGATTCGAGGATAGGAACTGGCGGCCGCGCCTCGCCCTGGGAAACTTTACCATTCGGAGTGGCCATCGTTCCGAAAATGCTGAGTGTTCGGAGGGGGCGGGAATCGTTCGTTGAGTGTCTTGGATTTGTTCCGCGTTGACTGAAGTCTGCAGGAGGTACTTCGCGGTTCCGAGGCAGCACTTTTGATGGTCTTAAATGTCGTCTGGTACAACTTGATCTTCCGGATTCGTGGCCCCAATGAGCAGCTACGATCCCTAATAAATCGACAATGGCGAAAGAACGGGAGGGAGTGAGGAATTGAGCGTTGGTGGGGGGTGAAAACGGCGTGGAATGTGGGATGTGGGCTCTTGGCTCCACAAGCCGACGGTATGCGCCACCCGGCACTCACCCGAGGCCCCGGGTCCGGCCGCTTTCAGGGGTCTTACGTTGCCAATCGCCCCCCACCCGTAGTTCCAGATCGGTCGGCGCATTCATTGCCTTCTTGGGAGCCAAAAAAGTCTCCCGGGCAGTCGTGTGTCGTATTATGAAGTACCTTTGGGTTCTTTTTGCATCTATTTTGTCGACATTTCTACTAATTGATTCGACTTGCAGGTCCGCCGGTGTTAGTGGCAGGGATGAGCCGGGCAGTATACCATGGAAGCACCTTGAGGGTCAGACTACTCCTGCCCGTGTATCCATGTTTGTCACTCTCACCACCCATTCTTCTATTTGAGGGGAACTGTCCCTCCGCATCCTAAGGAACGAAAGAAGGGTAGAAAACGGGGACATATTTGCGGGAGTGCCTGCAAGGGTTGGGTTGGGGATTGCCATGTTAAAATAGGTAACAATCAATTTTTAAGGATTCAGGAACGAGTCGAAATCCCGGCTACCTACCTACGTTAGAATGTTGCGAGATGTCGTCGAGAGATCTGTGGGGCTCATCTCATGATTGGCATGCGGCGAGCAAGCCGTTCATCGCTTGTCGAGGTCGAGACCACTGACGTCATCATTTCTCTCCCCTCCTTCAGCGATGCACAACACCACATTGACCACATTGACCACAAACCGCGCCAGTCCTCCGCAACTAAATCAACTGGGGGGCCACAAGATGGGCAGAAAGGAGAAAATCGCTCGGTCGATCGTACGGGCGATTGTCCAGACGAACGGGACAAACAGACAACGAAGCACGCTCCTTGCACGGATCCTCGCATTCTTCTCGGCCTTCTTCTCGTTGTATCAACTGCTTCTTCGCAAGATTCGCCCTGCAGATTTTGGAAATCTCCGCCGAAATCATTGGGGGGTCACAGACGATGACTATGTCGAGTCGTTTCAAACTGATGATGGCGGCGCAGAAGAACAGTCCCTCAACGCGATAGGGGACATGGGTTTTTCTGGCTCGGTTAGTCAAAGTGCCTGAGTCGGAGAAAGTTGCTTCACCAATGTGCATATCTGACTAACTTGGATCAGACCTTCTACGCCACCGCCAATCACAAGTATCTCGTCAAGTCCGTACCCCGACATTCCGAGCATTCGTTTTTCCACGAGGATCTCTTGACCCCGTATGTCCAGCACATGGCAGCCCAACCACGTTCCCTCCTGGTCCACGTCTTCGACTTTCTCGCTGTCTCGGGCCCGTCTTTGGGGCGTGTTCTCCGGTCCGCGCCCTCCCATCACATAGTCATGGACAACATTATGTATGGGCGGGAGGAGGCCAAAAAACAAGGGGAGGCAGACTGGGAAAGCTGGGACCTGAAGCCAACGTCGTACTTTTATCCCGAAAGAGACATTGCCGGCGGCGCCCTGACGAGCGAGGCAACCAAGGACCGCCTCGCCGATGACTTCCACGACAAAATTATTCTCAGTCGGGACCAGGCCGAGGACTTCTTTGCCAGCCTCGAAGTAGATTCCAAACTGCTATCCAAGTACAATGCCGTGGATTACTCACTCTTCTTGGTGCGGATGCGAACACCTCAACAAGCGGCCGCATCAGTGCTCCCCCCCGCAGAATCGGCCGCAGTCACTACCAATCCGCCACCGGCCCCGCCTTCCCAACAAAGTTGGAGGACGGGGGTCTCTTCGGCGGATGGCAGGTACCTCTTTCGCGCTTCCATCTTGGATTTCTTCTGGGCCAAGCACAAAGCCCAACCCAAGGTGATGACGCTATTGATCAAGCTCTGGAACACGTTGATAAGCAAACAGGGGCACATGAGTATCACCACAACCCCGGATGAGTACCGGGAACGGTTCCTCAACATGTGCAGGGGTATTGTTGAGATTAGAGAGGAATGAGAGAACCGTACGCTCACTTTTTGCCTTTATTATCGGGAAACTGCTTCTTGACACGCCGGGCCGTGGTTGCAGACTTTACCCGTTCACACTTGCTTTAGGTCTTGCAGAGAACTGCGACCAATTCATACGTCTTTCCTAATAGCAGTCGTTAAGCCAGTGTCTTTGTTACGTCCCGGTACTCGAAGCGCCGTTTCGGATACATCCTTTGAACCTCGGTCGCCGCCGTGGACATTTGTTCAACAACATTCCCTTCGACTACCTCCTAAGTGCGCAAAAGCACAGTACCATTGTGAGTGTTCAACGGTTACCAAGAAGACCCCAAATTTACATATGTCATTTAGTCCAAGTATCCTTTCGCAGTGGCGATCCCGTCCGTCGATCACAACCTCAAACCACCCTCCCAACGGCACCGTCTGGTGGAATTTTCCTACCCAAGAAGGACGTAACAAAGAACACGTCCTTGGTCACCATGGCGTGGGATAGGCCACGAGGACTAAGCGACCCGATACGAGAGATAAGCCGCGAAGACCTCTATACGACCGTACTACGGGCAGGTCGTTCTCGGTCATTGGAACTAGACCGACGCGCGTTCGACCTGGTTCGATTGGCGCCGGCGACGCCGCAAGAATGGGATGACTGGCCTCACGTCTTCCCGCCGCCATCGAGCGACCCCATCCGGCCGGTGAGGATACCCTGGCGAACCCGTACATCCTACCGACCCAACTCGCACCGGCTCCTCGTTTACGCCCTTCACGGCCAGCTGGTCCTGGACCCGATTTTCGTCCGTGTAGCGGCTGTCCGGCAGCGCCAGGAGACCATCATCCGCATGCTTGGTGAGATACAGATGTGGCTGAGCGAAAACCCTGCGGTCCCTCAAACTTCCGTCCAGCGACATATGTACCGGCTCCTTTCTCTGGCTCATATGGTCGTTGAGCCGCCCCGCGACCACGAGGAGACCTCTGTCACTGATGTCCTCGATCGCCAGCGCGCCGTTCACGCAGCGATTTTAGCCTTTGAGGCGGAAAACAACATCCGATATGACGAGACCGGTGTGCCAATAATCCCTCCGCTAGACAACGAAGCCTCGGACCGAGTCAACAGCGATGACCGGTCCTCTCAGATTGTCGCCCGCGCACGTCGAGAGTTTATGAACAACCTCAATAACATTTTGTCGCGCGAGGTAACCGGCAACGACGGGAGCACTGGTCCGACAAATGGAGCCAACAGCAGTCACCGGGACGGTGTTCCTCGGCTCACCGCCACCTACCTCGGTCCCTTCGCAAACGAAGTCAACGGAGTCAATGGGGTCAATGGAGTCAACGGAATCAACAGAGTCAACGGAATCAACGGAGTCAACGGCGGGCAGCTTGTAAATGGAACCAATGGCAGTCATCACGGCAGGAGCGTCACGCACACCATCACCTACAGCAACCCTCCTCCGAATTTGATCAACAGCGGCCGCCGGCCTCCCTTGGCCTCCGGAGCCAATGGCGCCAACGGCATCCATGATAGCCCCATAGCAAACGGGACCCCTGCCACCACGAACGGCATTACCGTCACCACGAGCAGGATCACCGCCGCCATCAACGGGACCACCCCCCATAACAACACCAACGACAATCTCCCGCTCACCGCCCCGATCCAGAGCTGGACCTGGCCCGCCTTCCTCCCCCCAATCCCTGTCCAACGAGAACCACGACCGCACTCACACTCACACTCACACCCATACCCAGACCCTCAACCCCAACGACAACAACCACCACAACCACCACCACCACCACCACCACCACCACAACCACACCCTCAATCACAACCACAACCACGCACCCGGACCCCGCACCCCCTCACCAACTTCCGCCTCAGCACAGCCTTGGCAATCGGAAACTACGACCGCGGATCAGTCGCCGCAAGCGTGAGCGCCGCGGCCGCGTTTCCTGACATTGTCTGGGATCATGGCTTGATGCCAGATAGGGGGTTTGTTGATGAGGGGGGTGGTGGTGGTAGTGAGGGTGGTGGTGAGGGGAGTGGTGGTGGTGGGGGTGGGGGTGATGGGGTTTTGGTTGAGGCTGGTTCGGGTTGGGAGCCTGCTTATGAGGATCATGAGGATCTGGAGCAGGAGTTGGTGACGGAGTGGGATGTGGTGGTTGTGTCGGAGGGGAGGGGAAGGCGGGGAGGGAGAGAGGGAGAGGGGGGGGGGGGAGTGAGTGAGTTGGGGATGAGTGAGTG